AAATTACGGCTGAACCACTGATGGTCACATGGACTATTTTACCGTTTCTGTGCCTTGATCGTGGTAGTATCCTTGCTGTCTATGGAGGGTCAGAGAGCAATCAGATTTCATCAAAAATATCTTAGTTTGTGTTCTGAAGATGAACGAAAGTCTTACGGGTTCGGAACAACATAAGGATGAGTAAGTAATTAATGACGGAATTTTCATTTTTTTGTGTGAACTAACCCTTTAAAGGTCCTCACCTTCTTATTATGTAGCAAGTCCGAGTCATTGTAGTGAATCAGTTAATCGTAAACAATCTTTTGATTCGTTTGGACGGATCATCATGAGACATTTTAATACCTCACTAAATACCTTTGCTTTAAAATGGCAGATGTTTTAGCACGTGAAAACTCAAAGCAGACAAAAAGTATTTCCTCATTCAAGGGCATACTTTGAAAATGCCATCTGACACACGTTTGGACACTTTTATTCACTTTTATTTTACTTCAGGATTGCTTTTTTTTAATTTTTAATTTTTATTAAATGTGCCAAATTTTAAAAAAAAAGTCTTTGAAATATTGACTTTTAAAGTTAAAATTTTATTTATTTTTTTTAAATCAAAAGTTAGTGTTCTTAGTAACCAAGGTCAGTGAAAAACTTACTCTGAGACACAGAGAAAATAAATAAATTAAAGAAAAATAAATGTACACTATTAATAATTTTCTTGTGTCTCATTGTGTATATCTGTGTTTGGTTGCCATCCTGTTAAATACCCCCCACTGCTGGAAATGAATCACAAACAAAAGGACAAGGAGCATGTGACAAAACTAAACCTACAGCTCCCTCTTATGGACATTCAGCACTTACCATCACAGATAATTGTCATCATTTGAGCAGGCATTGAACTCATCTGATGCGCATGTCCATCTAGAGTCTTGTGGCCATTAAGGCTAAATTAATTTCACACCAGAAAGTCATTTTCATGTCACACAAATCCATACATACTCCCTGCATCAGAATAAGTGTGCTTTGGATTTATGTTATGTTACAGGTCAAAGAACATCCAGATCGAAGGACAATGCCAAGATGGCAGATTTAGTATGGAAACAAATGGGAAGTATTCATTCTACACACCTGCAGACATGAAGAACTCTTTCTCAACAGCCAAAAAGTAAGTTCAGTAAATACTCTGCGAGTACGGGAGTTTAGACGCTTTCCTACACAAATATATACATAGACCGACATAAACAGATACATACAGATGATGTACCAACACAAACATATTAAATAGAAAAAAATAACTACAAACCCAACTTACATCAAATCAGTGCCATTATTTGTCCTATAGTGCTCTCTAGTGTCCATGAAGATCATAGCTTATTTTTCAGTGTTGGGTTGAAATTAAATGAATAATCGCTGGTGGGTCTGATGGTTAGGCCATGTTGCAGTCTGCTTTTCAGGCACATTTGAGTCTGAACCAACAGCTTTAGTACATTTCCTTGATTTGATTATATAGGTACGTATGCAGACCATGCAGAACCACTCAAGCCTAAATATATGATTCAATTAAATTAATGGCTTAAATCAGATCTTGGTTGGTTGTGTTGGATGGAGAGAAGTGATATGATCTGTAGTCTTACTGAATCAAAAGCTGTGTATGAGAAAATGCAATCTTTTGTGGGGTGCCGCTGACACACTTGTGATAAGGAAAACAAGGCAAATGTGATTTAAGGGGCTAAAACACATACACACACTGCTGCCATATTCCTTCCACTGTGAACCCTTACATTCACTTCAATATCAGTCCCCGCGCTCTACTTGACTACTAGTCCCTGATGACTATTGATTTATCTGACTGATCACTATTGACAGAAAGCTGGTGCTTGAACAAAGTTAAGCAAGTGCAATTGTAACATTATATGAAATATAGCCAAAGTACAATAACTATTTTCTGTTTTAATATATTTTAAAATGTATTCCTATGATGGCAAAGCTGAATATTCAGCAGCCATTACCCCAGTTGTCAGTGTCACATGATCCTTCAGAAATCATTTTAAAGATTCTTTGTTGAATGGAAAGTTAAATTTTTTTTTTAAATAATATAAAATAAACTAAAATAATAATAATAAAAAAACAGCATTTATTTGAAAAAGAATGTTTTTTTCTAAAATTGTGAAAGTCTCTACAGTCACTTTGATCAATTTAATGCATCCTTGCTGAAAAGTATATTATTATTATTATTAAAATCCTAATGACTTTTAATTGGAACTGTAGCTTCAGTTTTTTTTTTTTTTTGCATTTGCTTGTCCAGACAGTTGAAGAATGGTTTTGGGACATGAAGTAGCTCCAGCAATTATCTATTTATTTATTTTAATATCCTGAGATCTGTTGTAATTAAGATGTTTGTGTTTAATGGTATCATACTGTAGTTTTTTTGTTGTTGTTGTCAATATTAAAGAATTTTAGGTTGGCCCTTAAGTGGTGACCCAATTCAGTAACAAACCTCTAATAATTTAAAGTAGTCTGGATGTTTTTTTTAATTTTTTTTTATTCATATACAGTGGTGTGAAAAAGTTTTTGCCCAGCTTTTTTCCTTAATAAATGAAATTATGATGTATAAACTGCATTTTGTATTTACTTGCATTATCTTTGCGTAATATTAAAATTGGTTTGATGATTTGAATCTTTTAAGTGTGACAAATATGCAAAAAATTAAAAAAACAGTAAGGGGGCAAAAACCTTTTCACGGCCCTGTATTTGTAGCATAGATTTGTTCATGATTTTTAAAGACAAACAGATGTCACATCCATGTTAACATCTGCCTGAGTGGACTAGCTTCTTCAACATGACCATTTATATTACTATACTAAATGCTTGATTATTTTATGAGTATCTATATTGTCTTCATATTTTGCGTTCAAAACAGACCGCCCTTTTATTGGACATATGCAAGAGAGTGATGCAACTTTAGGCTGTGGTGCAACATTGTCCCTTGTAAACCTCTGAAGTCCATGTTGGTCTTTAGTTTCGAACACATCACAAAAGCCAATCCCACCAGTCTCACAAAGAACAATAAAAACAACGAGTGAGGTAAGTGGCCGTCCCTGTGCTTCTGCTGGGCTGGATCTCTGTGGTTACAGCAGAGCAGTGTCATGAGCGTCTCAGAGGAACAGCAGATGATTTCAGCTCCACTCTCAGGGGAACACAAACTGTGACATGGAGGTGAAGAAAGACCCACAGGTTTGGCCACCTGAGAAAAATACCTTTTTTTTTTTTTTTTTTAAAGATACAATTGTTATAAATTGTACAGAATCAGTCACAACAAATCTTATTGACCTGGTAAGACTGCTGTACTGAAATATGACAATTAATGAATATAGATATTTTAAATGACTCTTGTTTGAGATTCACTTATTGTTTGTAACTGAAAACTGTTGAGTCAGGCAAAAAGTAATGACAGAATTGTCCTCCACAGGAAATGTGTCATAACATCGAGCCTGTTCCCGGGACACTGAGCGCACACACGCACACACGCACGCACACACACACACACACACACACACTCTCTAAGATAATTAACACTCGGGAGAGAGCTGCTGATTAACTCAAACAACAGAAACACTGTTTTGTAAGACACAGGGAGGAAACCTGTGATTGTTCCAACACTTTCACACAGAGCGGTTAGGTTTCCTGAGATTAAAGTGTTTTAAGGGCTAAATTTCAGTGTTCAGGTGAATGTAATTATATAATGTTAAACCACTCGGAATTCAAATGTTTTTGCTACTGTAAATATCAAAGCACAGTGTTAGCCACACAATCCCAAAACATCAAGGTATGCTACAATGCGATAAAACCTTGTATATACATTACTTATATATACACTACCAGTATGTTACACTACCATTCAAAAGCTTGGTGTCAGTAAGATTTTTTAAAAAGAAATTAATGTTACTCTGCAAGGATGCATTAACTTGAACAGAAATGACAAAAGATTTCAATTAAAAAACAAAAAAACAAAACGGTCTTTTGAACTTTCTATTCATCAAAGAATCCTGAAAAAAAAGGATTCATGGTTTCCACAAAAACTGCAACATTATTATTAGAATTATTTATTTAGAGATGTTTCTTAAGCAGCAAATCAGCATATTAGAATTATTTCTGAAGGAACATGTGACACTGAAGACTACTTTATAGAGGAAAGAGAAAAACATTTAACACAACACCACATAACATAAACACATTTCATTACACCAAATACACAAAATAATGTTCTTTTTAGCAGCATCATATGACCCCTTTAAAGTAAAAATGACTCAAATTAACCATGTCTTAAAAATGGGAAATAACTTTTTATTGGTAATTTTAAAGATCCAGGTGTCATGAATAACAGAAATACTCACAGTAATGAACATTGTTGGGAAGCAAACTCAAGACACCTCAAATATATTCAATATACACTTGACATACACACACGCACACACACACACACACAAAGCAACGGTCACACTTTCCTCCCCAATCTCTTGATTTTAATCAGCATTGATCTCCATATTCTGACTGAGAGAGACAGACGGAACATATGATCAATTCTTCACTCTTTTCCCATAAGCATTTTTAAAATGGCTCTAAACATGGCTTCAATAGCAGTCTGTTTATTCTGAGTTTAAGCTGGAGGGAAGTGTGAAGATGCGAGTTAAGGAGTCTCCGTAGACACAGAGCCAAACGAGATCTATCTGTGAGGGATGTCAAGCCCCAACATGCTCAGTGCAAGTTCAACTAACACGTTTTCAATGCGTGCAAACTTAATTAACAAGGGCAAATGTTGACGTGAATCCTGATTGATAAATGGAGAGAAGGGTTTTGTTCATTCAAAGTACGTGATTTACAATGCAAAATGTGGGCATACTGCACTGCATTATGGGTAAAAGGATCACAGCATTTGTGCAAAAACAAACACATACAGTGCATACTGTATAAATTAGCACATGGTTAAAAAGCAAACAAAACATGTTGGCGTAATCGTTTTTTTGGGTATCAGTACTACAGTTGGATACGTCTGTCAGGAATGGCTTTCCAATACAATCTCCAGGGCTTATGGGAATCTGTTTGGGAATCGACACTCAAAGGGAAAAAAACGATAAAAACACTGATGAAAATTGGGACTCTTTTGTCTTATATATATTAAGATATATCTATAAAATCATACTCACAACACCTGTTAGTAATTTTCAACCACTTGTGACTGGCTCCATCCACTTCACACCAGGTTTAAAAAAGGCAATCAAGGATATATACATATTTATATATATGTATATAAAAACAATCTTTATATTTTCCTAAAGAGTTCATAGATTCTCAGATATTCATGTGAATCAGATATTAAAACCTGTTTGTTCGTTTCAGTCACTCTTTTTGAGAAACGGAGGTCGAGGAAAAACTTTGTGGCACAAACAAAAATCGATAATAATTTAATATTAATGTTATGCCATAACTTTTGTTTAAAAAAAGGCCTATGAGATGCGGCACTAAGCGAAACGCTCACAGACTCTTTTCTTGAACGTTCCTGGTCCCATATTCCCGTTTAAAGTATGGGACGTTGAACTCTCCCATCTGGGAATGGATATTCCCCCTCTCCTTGTAACTGTGTCTCTTTTTTGGTCTCTCTGGAGAGGGGTGGGCGGTTACCATCCGTTGATGATGTGATTCATGTAGTCCTCGGTTGGCAGGCGTGCCGTACCCTCTCCTCCGGCTCCGTCCTCTCGGAATGGGCTGTGGAAAGACGCTTGTCCTCTCAGTAGTCTCTGCTCCCGGCGGTCCAGCATGTGCTTGTACTGGTAGCGTTGCTGAAACAGGTCTTTGGCATAGTCGTACAGCTTCATGTCCAGGTCATTGAGCTCCTCGATGCGCTGTATCGTGTTGTTATCCAGGTCCACGCCGGCCGCCCGCGTGCTGTTGTACTGCATGAAGGGCCGGATGAACTTGAGGTGGAAGGTGCGCTCGAACAAGTACTGTGTCTTCCGCTGGAACTCTGTCAGGCCGAAGAAAGCCATGTCTCGTAGGTTTTTCTTGGCTGATTCGAGCAGCAGCTGTGAGCGCCTCTTCTCAGGAACTGTGGAGAGGTTGTAGCATCCAACGAGGCTGAGGTCGGCCAGCATGCGTACTTGGCGGTTATTGGCGAGGTTGTAGGGGCAGTCCATGAACTGCTGCAAAGTGCACCCCGACCAGTCTGAGCCCTCGTAGCAGGGCGGCAACTCTTCGGGCGTTGGTGTCCGTCCGTCGCACATGTGCAGGGACGTCTTCCACGTCGCCCCCCGCTGGACGTGCCTCCATTCGCTAAGGTAGCGGGAAACGGGGTCTCTCAGTAGAGTGATGTAGTAGAACTTTCTGCAGGAAACAAGATAGGAGAACTCCATTAGTCACAAAACAAAACCAATGATATACAAGATTATGATAATATTTAAATGTATGCATTTGGCTGACTCTTTTATCCCAAGTGACTTTCATTGCATGGGAATTGAACCCATGACCTTTGCTGTTGGAGCTACCGTAAACTGCTCATATCATCAACAAAACATTCACAGTAGAACAAAGGAAAATCACAATCACAATGCAACCTGTATTGTGGCATACAGTCTACATGTCTACAACTTTATCCTAAAATTAATACTTTGTTTCCAAAGACAGGATGCAACAGGTGTAAACCGTGACTCAATAAATGCCTTTGCCACTGTGTTAATCCTTTCCCACCACTTCACATCCTGTCTGTTTCGATAGTTCTTTGATTGATGGAACTGCAATAAGATGAATCAGTTTCAATGAATGATTCAAAATATATATTTTTATGTATAGACATAAAATGCATAAATTTAATAAATATAAGTAGCAAAATACTTGGTCAATGGTAAGTTTTGATTCACTTCAGTGATTCAGTTTCAATTAATCGTTTTAAAACTCAGATTAAATGATTCTTTTGTCTTCACTCAAAAATGTTCACAAAAGTGGGCTTTTTCACCACACACAATACAAAATCATGTATGGCCATGCACACTTCCCTATTTAAAGGCACAATATGTAAGATTTTTTTATTAAAATATCCCAAAACCACTAGAACAGTGTTATATATTTTGCTGACTTGTGTACTTACATTATCCCAAATGTTTCGAAGAATGTTTAAATCCAAAGAAATAAGCAATTTTAACTAGTGACACGGACCGTGTCCATAGTGTCATTGTGTCGCCTGCCAATGATGTCATAACCCCTCGATTTACGGTTTTGTTTTGTAGAAAACATGGAAACACCAAAGACGCTTTAATATGTTGTGCGTTTTATTAGACAGGTGACGACCGCACAGAGTAGCATTATAACAAATAATTTCAATAATTTCAAATGTATCTAGAGTCACGGCGCCATCAAACTACGCCTTTGTCTATTTGTTTATTTTGAATACGCGCCCTCTAGCGGCGAAAATTACATATTGTGCCTTTAACAAGAGATGGAAAAATACCCATACATCTGCAAACATCTTTAACAACCATTATATGAAGCTGAACTAAGCTAAATAAAAGGCATGGCTCAGAATCTTTTAGTGAAAGGCTGTATTGAAGTGAGAGCAGTCAGATAATGATGGTGATGAAACCACCTCAAGAAAAATACTAGTTCTTACGCTGCTTACATGCACACTATAGGGACCTTTCCTGAAAATACACAAAAAATATCTTTACCAGAGCATTCTGCCACTCTGAGAATGCTACAGAGACACAAGCCACAGGGAAAAGTGTTTCGTCGGAACCATGCAAAGGATTTGTGGAGTGGGAGGAAGACCAAGCACTGCCAACAAACTAGCAGGTGGTTTTCAACAGATTAATCTCGACCAAACTGACAACAGAGAGATTTAGCTCTCAGTTACAAATTCAATGCCCCCCGTCACCACCCGCTCCAGCTGTGCTTCACCCTACATTACCTATTCACACCCCTGTGACCAAATGTGCCAAGGAAACAGATTCCCTCCAAAGTGCCCAAGAGCTGGTTACACATTCGAAAACGGCATGAAATCAGTGATTAGACAAAAACAGTGGGCGATGCTGAAATTCATTGCTGGTGACCCACATGGCACTTCCCAAGGTAACACTGGGTGCTGAGATACACTGTGCAATCATCTTGCCTCTGGCCAAGAGGCGGCAATCCAGCCAACACTGTGCACTTAAATGCCCTTTCACTGTATATGTGGTGCCCTTACTGACCACATGGTGGCAGTGTGCATGTATTAAACAGGCCCAAACAGAAAGCGAAGGACAGTTATGAGCACTTCAACACCTTCCTTGCCACAGCAAGAACACTCTCAGACATGTGAGATCAGAATTTGAGATTTTGAGCTCATTGCTAAAATGATTCTTACTTCTGATTTATTTTGTTGATCTTTTCCTTAATTCACCATCTAAATTAATAGAATAATTTGACTTTTTATGTCTTCTCTGTATCTTCAAATCTTTATTCTCTCTTCCTTTCTCATTATTTGGTTTCAAAGCTGCAGGCTTATAATCATTAGTGAGCCTGAGAGACATCCGAGATCCCTCTGCAGTGCCAAGGCTTCCCGTTTTAATAATTCTCATGTTTCCACAGTGATTAAACTCGGGGCCCCATCAACACACACGGCAGATCCAAATCCCAGCCAATAACCGGCTGTCTGCTCTCAGCAAGGCCAGTCAATACTAATAACACAACGAAATAGCCACATTATTAATGAGAATGGACCCAGTACTGACACTTGGGGCACCTCACAAAGTAACTGAGGGTCATACTACAAGCTTGGACTGCTGCACTGTGCAGAATCATAAATTAAGCTATTGAACACAAGTCTCTTTTATAAAAGTCTTTCATAATTGAATTAAGACCCAGTTGAGGCCAGCTCGGGTAGAAGCATTTCAGTTTGTGTGTGTGTTTTTTGTGTGCAAGTCTGCTTTGGCAAAGTCAACGGGAAGCGTAGGAATCTGGCGCCTGTTGTTTGTAAGTATTTGTTTAATCCTCTTGTACTAAAAAACTTCAATGTCAGCAAGAGTATACATTTGTAAAAATACATATTTTCGAAATCAACTAACTGGTGGTTTGCCTAAATGACTGACTAATCCTAAGGCCCTGTAAAAATACAGAGCTGACCTTAATTGGATACATTCTTGCATCAAACAATAAAATGTTTTTTTGTGCAACTTTACACAGTGTCTTAGCTAGAGTCTGTTTGTTTAAAGAGTAACACAAAAATCCTGTACCAAGAATATAACTACAAATGTAATAGTCTATGAACCAGTGATTGAATAACAATAATACTAATGTGAATATTGGGGGGAATGCTACCCTGAATGTGGAGGTTCATTCTAAAATCATTCATCTAAATCCATTGTAGAATTAAGCACACTTAACAAATACATTAAAACAATCCACAACTTCATTAACAATCTCATTACTGAGGTTAAAACCCTGCTCTCTCCCACTGAGACATGGGAAAGGAAATGTGGCTCTTGAGAAAGACGCAATGAACGGCCCGCAGAGGGTCAAGGTCAGAGCTGAAGACAGAGCATGCTGGAAGACTCCTCCTCGGCCTGACAGCTCACTGTGGAGCCGTCACAACTCTCCGTCTGACACGACTCCACATGCAAATCAGCCTCTCAAATATATGATGACTGCACAAAGAGACCAGTCACCCATTCTGACAGACCAGACACAAAACAGCTGTGGGGGCACTATTTTACTTTCAGACACACTCACAGAGAGGAAGTGGCAGAAAAATGGAGAAAACAACTTCCAGTGGTTGGTTTGGGTCAGTGTGTTAACCCCAATGTTTGTTGATGCCAAGATGCTCTCATTCTCAGCACATGCACAGAGAAAGCCATTTCAATCAACATGTTGGCTACCTAAGACATTTCCAAATGTTGCGTTTAAACTAGGGAAGTGGAGCATGCAGCACCTTTGCTGACTCTTGCCACAGGGTTTCCTCACTTCACCAGAGCATCCAACCTCCACCGGTTTAACGCACTAGTACCCCTGTCAACCATCTAAAGGTGACATGACTAGGACAGGTCAGGTGAATATGTTCCAGACTGGTTTAATTTCATCGGGGATGCTTGCTGCTTCTGAGTGTGGGTTGGGAAATTGAAGTCTCCTCATTTTTTTGTCAGCAAAAAGCACTAGACTGTGCAAAATGACTCTAGTCTGTCATCCTGGAGGCGGTCCACTTGAAAATCCATTTCTCTGTAAGAGCTGAGTACAAAAAACATGGACAAAGAAACACATTTTTGACAATTCAGTGTGGACATTTATGTACACACATAAAACTTTCTCTTACACACATAAAGGAAAACATTACCTTTTCTGACCACACAAAGATGACACACTGACATATCGATGGCACCAGAATGGTTATGATTGCAAGAATTTGATCCACAACACTAAAGTCATTTTTAACTGGCCCACTGTATATGTAGTGACATGATTACACCTTGGATCAAAAGATGTAATTCTGCTGACATGCTATTGGAGGGTTGTTTCTTTAACAAGTTGCTTTCCAGCACCATCACTCTGTTTCTCTGTGGCCAACTGCCACATGATCTGCTGACACCATCACAACTGTTAAGAAACGGCTAATGACAAGCACTTTAAGGGATAGTTCACACAAAAATGAAAATGCTGTCATCAATTACTCACCCTCAAGACCTTCGTTCATCTTTGGAACACAAATTAAGATATTTTTGAAATCCGAGAGCTTTCTGACTCTGCACAGACAGCAACACAACTACCACATTCAAGGCCCAGAAAGGTAGTAAGGACATGGTTTAAATGGTCCATGTGACATCAGTGGTGTCTATAGAAGCTCTCGGATTACATAAAAAATATCTTAATTTGTGTTCTGAAGATGAACGAAGGTCTTTAGTGTTTGGAACGACATTGAGGGTGAGCAATTAATGACAATTTTCATTTTTGGGTGAACTGTACCTTTAAAAACAAAAAAATTGTACTTAAAACATGAATAAAATGAAATTAAAATTGACACATAAATTAAAACATTTCTTTGGACTGTTTCACACCGTACACACAAGATAAGTGAAAGCGAACTTCCTCGGCTCAAAACAGAAAACCCAAGTAAATTCTGGGTTACAACACTGGTATAATTTATGTACATTGATAAAATAAATAGTCACAGTTACCTGAAGTGAGCCACTGAGAATTATTACAAACTCTGATTTGAAACTTCGTCATTAAATCTAATTCATACAAAGATGTCCAACATTTACATCCTTATGGTAATCTACACAAAATGAAACCCCGGAGCGTAGCTATAAACTTAAAGCGCCTTGTTGCATCAAACCAGGGTGAATCTGTTAATATGGTCTTTCATGTGTGGTGTTAAAAAGGCCTTAGGTGAAGAAACAACAACAAGATCTAAATTTATCAATATGGCAGAGCCCCTTCTCATAACAGAAGAGCTGAACTTTGGTGTCAGTGATCATTTTTAATCTTGATTTCGAGGATTCTTGTCTTGGAAGTAGCTGGAACACTAATATAGTCATATGAGAGTTCTGTATGAATCACATTAGTTTAGTTCGTTCACCATGATAAAATGCCGTTCAAAAGTTTGGAGTTGGTACAATTTTTTTTTTCTGAAAGAAATGCTTACCAAGACTCAATTTATTTGGTCAAAAACATTAAAAACAGTAATATTGTGAAATATTACAATTGAAAATAGTTATTTTCCATTGTAATATATTTTTAAATGTCATTCATTCTTGTGTTGCAAATCTGAATTACGTCTTCAGTCACATGATCCTTCAGAAATCATTATAATATGCTGATTTGTTGCTTAAGAATCATTTCTTATTATTATCAATGTTAAAAACATTTGTGCTGCTTAATATTTTTGTGGAAACTGATGCATTGTTGACAGTAAGCAGGCTAAAATAATTATGCAATGAAGTTGGCAGAAATCAGATCTGACAGTAACATTCATTTAATATATTAAAAACTAAGGTTTCCACATTAAAATTATAATAAAATTCCATGAAAATCCAAAGACATCTGATAAATGATGCTTTACAGAATTCTTCCAAACAAGAAAACAAGTTATTTTTACATAATAATGACAGCATCAAACCTGTTAAAGTATGAGTGAGGTGGAGGATTTCAACTAGATTTCTCTGACTATCAAAGGTGGCACAACTGCTTTTACTAGGATGAATGTAAATTCCACCTTATTCCTGGCGCTCGCTGCCACACGCTAGCTGTAACAGCTGAGGGAGCATGACTAACGAGAGCGGCGATTCTTTCGTCTTGGGATGTGGGAGGAAGAGACGCAGATAAAGACGCCAGTGTATGTGAGAGAGAGAGAGAGGAGGAAAGGAGGAAAAGGAGAGACAGATGAGGAGAGAGGTATAAAGAAATAGATTTTTATGAAGAAAACGTGAGTAGTGCCTCAAGTAGATGAGGAACCGCAAAAAAAAATCTTGGAAATGTGGTAAATAAGTCAGGAAGAACGCGTCGACCCCCTGCAGGTCCTGGGATCTACCTGGGGGTCTCGTAAACTAGCTGTCTTAAACCCGCACAGGTGTTTCGCTTCAGAGTGGGTGATAAATAACATGGTGAGATGCTAGCAGGCGGAAAGACTCCTGGCAGGTTTAAGATCTGCCAAATGTGCAAGGACAGAGCAAGCACTAAACCAACACACTGAAGGAACCCTGCGTGACCTCATGGGTGTCATTAAAAAAGCAGTCAGGATGTGAATTGTGACGGGTATCGTGGGGAAATCAGTAGCCTGAAGATTAAAACATCTGTGTTTTCTCACACGCCAAAACAAGCATCGTGTGTTACCACCTTATAATGCAACAATTCATATGTTAAACAAGGTGTTAACAGATAATCATGTGTCAGAATGAAAGATCGAATCTGTGAAATATTAGCAGAAAGATAATCACTCCTAAATCTGACAAAGAACGACGGATGACAAACCTGGAATGACAAGAGTTGCTGTGCAATTTAAAAAACAGTGCATT